AACCCAGGGATTCTGATGTGCAAGAATTTGAGCACTATTTAGAAGCAGCCATATGAACTAAGAATAAATCAAGTATTCAAAAAAAGGTAAATGGTCATCAATTACAGAGTAAATAAACCAGATGGTATTTTCATAAACATCATGATTTGTTTTCTAATTATTTTCTATACCTTTTCAAGAATTTCTAAGAATTTCTAGTAGTTATATCTATTTCCCGAGTATCCTTGCCCATAAGGTCTTACTGATCTTTCATCATTTGGATCATCCCTTGGTCGTGCAGCACTGTGAGACACTTCAGCTCTAGGAAACGCTCCTACCCCATATCTCTGCAAAGAGATTAGAATTAAATTGTCAGCATTTGACACACACTTCTTCATATGCATGCTATTAAAACAATCCACCTAATCCAACTCTGTTTATGTAATTCTTTTGAGTATTATTTTTGGAATTTAGGTGCTAATGAATGGGTACTCAGCAATGTATTTGGGAGATGATTTTCACACCAATAACTGAACCTATTAGACTTTGCATGCAAAAAATGAAACTGGTTAATATAATTTCAAACTTTTTCAGCCTTTTAGAAAACACCTGCAGCTTCAGAACATTTTTCTTGTTCTTAAAATAATGTCTTTAAGAACCGAAGAGGCTTCTGTGGCCTTTCAGTAGAGTCGAAGGAATCACTGGGCGAATGTGAAGGACAAAAACGCCGCCAGACATTGCTACTTCTATTTCTTTTGAAAAGGGTCTTCTGACCCTTAAGTAATCCACTAACCACAAATCTAACGATTCCACATGCAAAACTGCTATGCTAGGAGGAAAATCTGGTATTTTTTCATCATTTTTCCACTGAGTGAATACCAAGCGATTAGGAATGCATGATTCTGAAAGACACACACACTTACAATTTGGAACACTTACAAAATTTTTGTGCTAATGAAATTATTTTTAGCTATTAAATTACAGCTGTAGAAAAAAAAAGGAATACTACAGACATCCAAGATGAGTAAATTTGGTTACTGCCTCTGATATAATGTATGCCTGGCAATAAATGTACAGTATCTATACTTGTACAGATAATACTTTCAGTTTGAGGTCAGTCAAAAGATCTCAGCTTGATTTTTTAAAAAATATTTTTCACCTACTCTAAAGTCCTCTTCTTTTTTTTTTTTTTTTTTTTTTAAAAAAAAACATTTTTCAGTTTACACACAAGCCCTTCTGAACTGAGTGTTCTTTTTGTAAAAAGTTAAAAATTTTCTTTTGCAGTTAACTTTCACTTCATAATCTTGTCTTTTTTAAAACTCCATTACAGAGAGAAATGACTATTTTTTTACTACTAATTTACACCAAAAACCAATAGCTTCCCTATAGAAATAATCCAAAAGGCTCATTTACATAAGCCAATCACAGTCACAAACTACTGAAATACCACGCTGGGATGCAGAAAGGCTGCTAATATGAGGCTGATTTTTAGGCACAGACAGAACAGCATATAAATGTCTACCAATCTTTCAATTATTGAGGGGCGGGGAAGAGAAGTCTCACAGAACACTTATTATTAATCATTTCATAAATAACAGACAGAATTAATAATTTAGTCGATCCATATATCATGCTATTTGTACATAAAACATACAACTCTCTATGAGGCTTTAATTATTGAATTATTGACTTTGGGAGGAAGAGGAACCTCAGAGCCCCAAAGCAAAAGTGCTAAGTACTATTAACTGTCATGTTTTTGACATATCAGTGCACATTTAGTTATATCATTATTCAGTACAGAATTTGGGAAACTATTATAATTTTGAACAAGTTGACATTGTTAGTAAATGTAACGGGACAGTTCTTGCAAAAAAGTTTTATTACAGAAGTTTTCAACAGGGTTGGAAACTAATGGCTTTATTTACTGCATAATTCCAATAAATTCATAAAAATTATGCTGCCACGAAAATGGTGAGCATTGGAAAAATTGGAACAGGGCTTTTAAATATCTAATTTTCGTGTTAACCAAATTCCCTTCACTGTGCAGTGAGTTAGAACAAGAATGCCAGTAATTCCCCTGCTACAGCTGCAAGAATATTTCTATATTGATTCTAGTGTCAATTCTCACTAAAAAGGCTGACTTGGGCAACCATCCTTCAGTTAAGTGAAAATATGTTTTTATAAGTAGTCACACCTACATGTAAATGATTCAGAAAATGATTAAGTCATTGCAAAATTTATCCAATCTAGCACAGAACTAGTAAATATATATCGTTGAGGAAAATATCTGTAGAGTAAAAGGTATTTGTAGGCCTTTTATCAGGTCACATCTTTAATTAGTGACATACATACTACCGATTTGAATGATGAGAACTTGTCTCACTATAAAGACACAAGATTATATAATGTATGCTCATACATATATTATTTATACATACCGGATACCGTCCCTCCTCTGCATAATCTGAATATGGCAAATTATTGTTGGGATAGTCAAATCTATCATGTTGCTGAGGTTGGCGTGTGGGAGAATAGTCTCTCAGGGGAAGTGGATCAGGTTGCCTCACTGGTGACATGGGACTATGAAAAAGTGAAAAAGGAAAAAAAAAATTAAAAAAGATGTATGTGTAATAACACATTACAAATTAGAGTCACTATTTGTTTAAAATGAAATATAAAGATGTTAATGGAGTTGCTGCATGCATGACAATCACGTTAAGACATCTAAATGTCCTGTCTCATGTCAGTTCATTTTATCCTCAGACCCTCATCCTGCAAACAAGATAAAAGTGAATTCAGAGATGCAAGATGATCTCTTTTGAGTATATTTCTTTACAATATGGATTACATCTAGCTCCATGTTTTTACTACATCCTTTCATGACATTGCACCAATCCCAATTTAATTTTATGTTCCCAAACTTTCCTTTTCAAATGCCAAAACAATACTAAACAGACTTCTACAAAGGTAGAATTTTGTTAAATATTTTTAATATTAAATATTAACAGAATATCCATTACAACAGATGCAGAAATACTAGGAAAAAATGCTAGGAATTCTTCCTTGTTTTCTGCCGATTTGCAATGAATGCCAGCTAAAACTGCTAAATTGTATCTTACTTGCTGGTCTTTGCTATGAGAGAATGAATATTTGTGCTTTTCAGCTTCTCAAGCCTTACATTTCTCACAATAAAATCTTCATTAAAAAGGTTCAACACCTTTGGAGATGAATTAGGATTAAAGTATCAGTAATGTTTGTAAAAGATGTACAGGATATCTTTTCCTAGAATATAAAAGCTGCACCTCATCTCTTCCACAATAAGCAGAAATACAAAGTTTCTGATATGAACAGAAACTCTAGGTGGCACTGTAGCTAATCACATCAATAATCTTTGAATGGCTAAAACTCTTTAAACATGTAAAGCAAAAAAAAAAGAAAAAAAAGAAAAAAAAATGGATTGTACAAGTTTTCTGATACCATATTAAATTCCTGTTATAGCTTTTACATTTTCAGTGTTTATATATTAAAAAATTAAAACCTTCTCAATAGACCAAGGTATCAGAAAGCTCTAATCTTTCTCTGTAGAGGAATCTGCTGCTTATGAGGAAAAGGTTCTCCTATCATTTAGCTCCTTCACGTTAAACATTCTCTGCAAAAGTTGCAGGTAGGGAGTGCAACAGTATGTAGGAGTTAGTGAGGAGGATTCAAGTGAATAAGGACAACTAATGAAACTCCAATTCCCCTTTTTCCCACCATTTCCTACAAAATGGCCATAAGTAACACATTTGTATTTTTTAGAGGAAAGCCATACATGTTTGTTTCCTAGTCTATAAATAAATCAATATTTTAGGATTTAGCTTCAGAAACAAGAGAAACATAACACTTTTTATTTTTAGTGATATATTGGGAAAGCAGAATTTACATCAGGATACTTCAGAAATATTATCTAAGACCTAAATACTGGAGTCTTGTGGAACAAGCAGATAAATTTACATTTGTCTATTAGTTCAATTAGTACTGATGCACAAGAGAGTCCTAGAATTCTTACGGTGACACTGTTTGAACTGAATGAAAGAAAAAAAATCAGAGAACAATCTTGAGGACTTAAACTGTACAACAATCTATATGAAAAATATAGTCAGAATATAGTAAAATAAACGAATATAGTCAAAATGAGTAAGTCAAATATAAGTCAAAATCTTAGCCACTGTTGTCATGACCCAGAAATACACAGTAGTTCCAGTCTCCAGACCAAAGACCAAGTATAAATGCAAGGAGCAAAAAGGGCAGAAGAGCAGCATACCTGTTACGTTCTAACTGACTGGGGGTTGGGTACGGATTAAAATCTTGTCTCATCTGTTGAACTTTGGGCATTCTCACATTTTGTCCAACCCAGCCATCCTATATGAAGGGGATAAGACGGTTTCACAGAGTTAAAGTAGTAACAGATACAGTAAGCTAACGGCTGTCTTTGATTCAAAAAATAAAACAAATAAAAATGCATAAAGCCAGTTGTTTCCCAGTTACAAAATACTGTCTTGGTCTACTTGTTATTTCTGTCTTCTTTAATATGAATAAATGCAATTTATCTGAAAGGTTGAGAGGATGAAAAGCCTTTACATATCTGTTTAATGCGAACAAAACACACTAAGACGTAATAGGGAAACAAAGGTTAGTCTACACATTTAAATAAACTGGGTATTAAGACTCTTACCAAGGCCTGCAGGTTTTGTTGATTCTGCCAATTAAGCATTTCAAAATGATGCTGCTCTATAGTGGGTTTACCCCTGATTTATTCAAAATGGAGTCCAAAATTAAAGACAGTGATTGATAACTAAGATCAATTTAACTCTGCTAAAGACTGGCTCTAGTCTTTCCAAATGTATTATGAGGGGAAGCAGGAAAACATCATGAAGAATGAAAAGAAACATTCTGTATTGTTCATAAAGCTAATAAATGATGTTTGCCTTCTAAATATATCTTTGTAAGAATATAACATAAAAATATAACAACTTTTGAAATGAAGATAACCTCAGGAGAGGAGCAGCGTTGGGCACAGTTCACCTGCAAGCGTGGCTGCAGTGAGACGAAGGTTTCCGCTTCGTCCCTGGCCTCACAGAGCTTTGGTGACACACAGCAGTGCAGGCATTTGTCTGTCTTGTCACCATGAGCGCAAAAGCTTGACAATAAACAAACTGTTCTTCACAAGCTCGTGTTTCCTTGTCTAGCTTATCTACTAGAAATAGTCCATGGACTGCCTTTGGGCTACGAGTTGCAACCTGAGCCATGAGAAAAGTAGGAAGTAGTGCAGCCCTTACCTGAAGTCATTCTTTACACTTTAGATTTTTCTACATGAACAGAGCATACAGGATTATTTATATATTAAACAGCACCATCTCCTGGTGAAAGCCAAGTCCTGCCTCACTTACTCCTGATGATCTTTTTCTCTATTTCCTATTTCCTGTTCTGTTTATCAAATTTATTCAGTGATTTTTAATTTGTGATACAAGTGATGACTACACAGAACATCTCACCCTATATAAGTAATTAGCAGATCATTAACTCAGCAAAAGCAGCAGTTTGGCACTGCTGGAATCAAAGTTCAAATCCCTGCTCTGTCAGATTACTTCTCTAACCTTGTAAATGACTCGATCTACCCTGAAAGGTCCCCAGGAAACACTCTGTTACAAAGGTGAGGCAGGTAATGCCATTTCAGATTTGATTTAGGGTCTTCTACCTTTGAAATGAAAAATCAAAACAATAAACCAGGAAATAGTTAAATATTCTTGCTTCAATATCTATTTCCCTTTGCAGGCAGTGAATTTTAAGTATGTACGGCCAGAACTGTGCCAACAATGTTTATATGTTACGTAGTTATACACTATCATTTATAGAGAATGCAGCTGAGAAAAGGCAAGCATGACATTTGGTATATTTGGCAACATCATTCTGATCATCTGAGCTGATTCCCCAAACTCCAAAAATGTTATTTGGGGGCATCAATCAACATGAAAAGGAATCACATTATTGCAATTTAAACCCTCCGGTAAATTTTTACTCAGTTGAAAATGAATTGAAATATATTTGAAACAAATATTTCTAATTCACATGAACTTTTAACCTTAGATTTTGGCCTCACAGAACTGGGTGGTGTTTATTCATAGAGGGTCAGAACCTCAGCTATAACAGCTGCTTTGTCTTAGTCCATTTGTGTAGTAATGCTGCTCTACACCAGCTGATGACCCCATCCATATATCTTCATTACAAAAATGAGGTTGATTTGTTGTCTCTGATGTAAAATGGTCAATGTTTCTTCTGGTGGGGTATAATTAGTTAACGGTCAAATGAAACAGTGCGTGTGGCTCCTCAGGGTACCTTACCTTAGACGGGTAAAGTCTGGACAGCCCCAATCTCTTCTCCTGGACTATTCCCTGCCTCTTTCCGTGTCCTGGCACTACTACTGGCCTTCCCACAACATGGCCTAGTTCATGGAGCTGATCCAAGGAGCACTAGTCAGCTAGAAGGACACAGTGAGGAGACGAGCGAAGAGGATGGAATGTGTGGCTTGATCTCACATACAAATAACCTTTCTTTTTTAATGCTGATCTTGTAACTAGTCTAGTAATATTTATTAGGACAATCCAATATTTATTAGGATAATCTAATATTTATTAGGACAATTCACCGACAGAACTAGAGGTAATGGCCACAAACTAAAACACCAAAAGTTCCACAGGAACTTAAGGAAAAATTTCTTGACAGTGAGGGTGCCAGAGCACTGGAACAGGCTGCCCAGAGAGGTTGTGGAGTCTCCTTCTCTGGAGATCTTCCAAACCCGCTTGGACACAGTCCTGTGCCACGTGCTCTAGGTGACCCTGCGTGTGCAGGGGGCTGGACTAGATGATCTCTAGAGGTCCCTTCCAACCTTAACCATTCTATGATTCTATGAATCTTACTAAACAATCCTTAGTTCTTTGTTTTCTCCTATACAAACTAGATTTCCTTCATCCTTGACAAGGAATTTCACCTTCTCACATATCTTGGAAACCACATACTCAGTAAATAAAGATTTTAAACTCAGATTATTTTTAGTTTACTAGCTGGCAATTCTGTCCTATTTCTACACCATTTCGTTGAGTTACCAAATCATGGCTGACTTCCACTGGAATTAGGAGCATGCCTTGGGCTCCGTTTAATGACACCTCTTACCCTTGGCTGCTGCTGAGAAACATATCCCAAGTGATCAGTTGGTTCTGCAGTGTATGCAGGATTATGCCGTGAGTTGTGGTGTGGAGCATTTGCCTGTTTCCTGGTGGAGGGAAAAAACCTCAGCATGAATTTACAACTTTAGCAAGAGTTTTGAGGGGCTTCATGTATCTTTTTTTGTGCTGCAGCTTTGAGAGGAATAGTACACACTAGAAGGGCTCAAGGAAAGAAGGCCCCTCCTGCACATTCTCTACATAGTCAGGACAGGTAGCAGTGAAAAACAAAAAACAAATCGTTGGAAGTAAACAGCAGCTCAAACTGCTAGGGCCTACCATGACAGAATGGGAGAAATAATTTAACGTGCAGGACTCTTGGTCAGTGTTTATTTGTCTTATTTAAATTTTTGTAACTCGTAGAAAGATAATCAATGCTTGTTAGCAAATAGATCAGCAAGGCAGATCTCGTATCCTTCAGGTAAAGCAGTAGCCAATAAAAGGACATACTGATTTTTAAAGCTTGCCTGGTTAGTCTCAAAGAAGAGAAACCATGACATATTCTGTGCAATGTTCTGTATGCAATGCTGAAGAGCTGAATAACTGTAAAATGCTTGGATAAGATGCTCTGATTTACTTCTAAGCTGTGTACATAATACTTTGGCAGAGCATGCTGTATGGGAAGCTTATTGATCTAAATGCCCCGAGACTAAAAATTAACCAGAGTAACAGACTTCTTTTGTTTTGCTTCCATTTTGATTATATATATATAAAAAATGCTTTTAACTGTATCCAGAATTACTTACGTGTTTTTTCTACCTTTACAGTAGTACACGCACTGACATATTACACCAACTACAAAGGACAGTGCTACCGCAGGAAGAACAGTGACTAAAATCAAATCCACTGTGCTCCAAAGTTGATCGCATTTGGGGCCCATGTACCAATAGTCCTTCCAGCCCACTCTGTAGTAATTGCATCTGTGAATAAAAACATTATTTATTTAACAAAATTGTAATTTTAAAATAATACGAAAATACAAAAAATAGTTTTTTGAAAATATTTTGCTCTAAAATTATTTATTGAATACTAGAGGGGTAAATAAATTAAATATTTTTTACCATCTACCTGAAAATACCATTTATCTGAGATAATATTCAGGCATCTTGTTCTAAATGCCGTGCATATGCTCTGTGCCATGCCACTTTCCGTGAACAAAGAACTATGTGTCTGAGTTAGCATGGCACTGAGTTCAAGATAATAAAGTTTATTGAAAACAGGGTATATTGTGCTAGTTACTACATGATTCGGGTCAAAGATTTTTTTGCCAGCTCTAAGTATGACAAAGCTTGCATAATTTCAGAATAGTCTGTGTAGATTTAATTGAAATATCAAACTGTTAGCTATCACTATGATATGGATGCACTTCCAGTGGAAAAGCACTAACACAACCTACACTGGATTCACACAGCATGTTTCTGCTGCCTTTAAAATGGCAGTGGGATGAGAATGTTGCTTTTTCTTTAACTGAATCATCTTTTTTTTTTTTTTTTTTCCTCAGAGCACCTCTTGCATTGCTCATAGAAAGGCTATCACTGGAGTGGAATGTCCCTAGCCACTGTTCTGATGGAAAGGCTCTTTTGTAGAGGATTTTGCGTCATTTACTGATGCAAACACTTTGGATTTGGGTAACTTTTTCTGGAAGTTGGAACTGTATCCCCAGTAGCAAAATACTTATTCCATTTTATGTGAAGTACTTATATTGACATGGACATTTATTTTCCATCACATGCATCACTTCAGGAACATAGGATTTTACTAGTCCCGAACTGCACAGAGTTAATATATAGAGAGTGGGATACTGGCATCCTCATTTGCCTCATCTGGGCAAGCTCAGCAGCAATTGCATATGCAACAGAACGCTGTATCTGAGAAATTCTCATAGAGAAATTATTTCCCTGAATCATTCCGGTAATCAGATCAACTTCTGCACTGGTATTTTCTTGTTGACTTCCTGCTACAAAAAGTCTAAGGGTCTAAGTCTATGTAAAATATATATACATACAGACTAGATAAGGGAGCGATACTTTCCACTCAAATGACCAGAAATCATTGAAAGAAAATAAGTAAATACACAGTGAATAACAGGGAGTTCATGTATGTGAATTATTTTCAAAGGCTAAAGAAATTTTGGTCAAATTGGAAAAAAAAAACAACTTGAAATTACAAAGTTTATTTCAGTTTTTAAATAAAATAGTCAAGACAATAACAAGCATGCCAAAACTGAGAATTTATCACATGTAATTACATCTGAACTATGAAATTGATAACCTAGATACATTCTAAAAAGGAAAATGCTCATTCAAATCCTGAATCTCCTGTTTAGTATCAGATTTATGACCTTATATAGACTGTGAATGAAGATCTACATCCACTTCCATGGATCACATTGCAGGATCTAATTTTAGGTCATCATTAATAATATATTTCATGAACTGCACTTACACAGCATATTATATTTAAAACAATCCTTACCTGCAAAAAGGCTGTTCATCTTTACATTGACAAGAAACACCAGCTGGACAGAAGTTATCTGTATTACCAGAACAATCCTCGAAGTCACCAATTCCTGTGCAGTTGGCTATAAATGAAAATAAAACAGACATTTATTAAATACAATGGAATATATGTAATATATTGTTAGTGGGCTGCCTTTCTATTTATATCAGAAATTTAGGCTTCATAAGAAGTACTTTGTAAAAGATACTGCATCTTAATCTCCAACGACTTGTATCTTCTTGAAACTTTGAAACGATTTGAGGAACGAAGATTAACCTGCTGAAATTACCTTATTTGAAACTTTCACTCCTCTTGCAGTTTGTCCTTTATTAGCCAGTAAATTGTATAGCTCATATTATTATGATGTCTATAATGTATCTATTATCTATTGTATCTATATATCTATTTCTTAAGGATACACAGAATTCTTACAGAGTCATATATGATCCTAACATTCATGTGTGGCTTAACCTAAATCATCTTATAAATCAACTCTGGATTCTCGGGAAAACGTAGAAATCAGGCAATCTCACAGCCCATCGGGAGTCACTCCCTCAATATATAATCCTCCTAAAAATACCTTTTGTGTGCTTTGTACTGAGATTATTCCTTAGCGAGTGTACGAAAGGATTTGTTTTGCATTAACATGGGTTCTGCCCCATCTCTTTTACTGTGCAAGATTATATGCTGTAAATTATGTTCTACAAGTTGAGTGCTTACAGCACTTTGGAGTCTAAAGATAACTTTCTCACCAGCAATCTTAATCAGACATCAGAATTCACCATGCCTGACACTCAAACCCTGCATTCTGTGTTGCACTTTTCTGTGTACAGCTCTGATCGAGTGCTGCAGTCATCACTCCTATCAGGAAGCTACAAGCTGACTGCAGGTTTTGGTATTAAACCAGTAAAGTCTAAAATTTAGGCAGATACACCTGAAATCTTGACACAGAAGGTGAGCAGTTGCAATACACTACCGGGTAAATTCAAGAAGAGAATAAAAACTAGAAAAATGTACACTGCAAGAGCAGACACTATTATGATACTCAAACAAACAACGTCCCCCCCAAAACACCCCTACAGCTGTATATTATTTTGTATAAGCCATTCAGAACAAGATATGACTTTAGTTAAAACATCATAACCCTTTCTCTCAAGAAGACATCAGAATCAGAGCATTTTCCAAGACAATATAAATACAGATCATACCTTATGACTACAAAGAGCATAAGATATATATATATATATATATATATATAAAGTGGTATATAGCATTATATTAGGGGGGAGATAAAAAAAACAGTGTTTTTTTTTTGTTAACTATGACCAGTGGTAGAACTAGAATTCTTTTAGTACTGTTACAAAAAAATACAGATAATCTAATTATCAGAAACGGGTAGCTACAAGTTAAAGAACAGTGGTGATTTAAAATAATAATAATAATAATAAAATAATAATATAATCAAGCTGTTATAAAATCTTCCCATTTAAAAAAAATCCAACCAATACTATATACACTAAGGCAGAGACTTTTCTGTGCAACTATGCTCATTTTAAAAAATCTTTTCTTTTCTGTACATTCTGTCATATTCCTAACTACTGATAGCTTTCTCCCTGATTATTATTTCTAAACATAATTTCTACAATAAGAATGTGCAATTTTTTTCCATACACTGGATATTTCTTCCTAGTGATAAAATGAGTCTATTTGACATTGACAGGTTGAAAATGGCCTAAAAGCACCAGAAAACTTAGTAATATTTGTTGTAATTCATATTGCTGTGGTCTCGTTATTTCATAGAAGTACAGAATGACAGGAGAAAGTAAAAGCATTCTTGGCTTGTATACCTATTTCTCTTCAAAGTATCACCAGAACCTTGGCAGTAAATAACAACTATGAAACACATGGAAGCAAACATATATAAATCAATTATCACACAAAAACCTTAGCATCTTTGATGGTCTTCTGTATTTGATAAGCCCTAACTAAAGCATAAGGAGAATTTCATCAGGAGCAGTATCACTGATATTGCGATACCACAATACCATAGGTGAGCCAAAAGCTTGAAAACAGCCCTTTTTTCCATCTCTAAAGGAAAACGGCACCATTCCTTACGTTCGGAAGTGTCCTGACACCGCGAGCCACTGGCCATCAGCAGCACGAGAAGCAGGGCTTGAACACGCGACATCCTGAGCCGGCCGTGGAACCGTGGTGATTTCCCCTGGGGTCTGCCAGGAGCAGAGCACGCGTCTCTTTCTGACACTTTTTCACGCAGCGAGTCAAGGATTGTGGATTTTGAGCTTGTTTTACAGCATCCTTCTCTATAAAGAATTACTAATTAACTTATATCAGATAACTTCCTGGTAACTTCTTCAGCATATTCGCATTTACAGCAGCTGAGTAGTTCCATAAAAAATATGTTTCATTAACCTCTGGAACATCCCGATACCTGCAAACATAGGCAAAGCATCCTTTTAATCACATGATTTGCAAAACATATTAAGGTATCTATTACAAAAAATTATCTGTCCATATTTTAGAGTTATGTTACCTTTTAAAGATGACAAACTATGACTGTATTTGACTAAAAGGTTTCTAGAATACATTCTGTTTTTGAAAAATGTCAAAGACAGTTAAGCACCGTAAGTACCATGTTTTTGAGATGTTTTTGTTCTTACTAAAAACTTCAGTTTTGCTGCAATAATTACTGCAGCTCTGGTTGCAGGGCACAGACAGAGCCCAATAGTTTGTTACTGACACCTCTTCCGCCCACATCCAGTTTGATGTTTCCTGCCTTTTTGAATTCTGCATGACTTTACAATTTCCAATTCCATGATTGCTTTTCTCCCATAGCTGGAGAAAATACTCGCTTTAAAGAAGATACTTTCAGGAATATGGCTAAACACAAAAAATAGATTGACTTTGCCAAGTATTATTAGCACTATTCTTTCGGAAATGTTAATGCACGAGTCTTAGTTTAAATGGAGGCTTGTATGGACATGGACATCTACTGTGTGCTAGCACCAGCCAGAAAATTAGTTGACAAGTGATATAAATGTATTTAAATTACACTGCTGACCTAGCAACACTCAATCACACTGCTGCCTATAGCAACACTACTACTTACAATTTTATGATAACTCATATTTGGGTCACTAAAACCTTACACAGCCTCGTTTCATAGGCAATACTGAAAGGGAGCACATCTGAAAGTTTTAGCTCTCTTTTCAGGTAATTTTGCTTTTACAAAAAATACTTTAGGATGGGAATTTGAACCAGAATGGACATTTCTCCTAATGAAAAAAATTATCCATGTTTAATTTTAAGGGTTTGATATACTACCCATCCCTAGGTAAAAAAGGAAAGTAAAACAGCTGATCATATAAAACGGGGAGATGTATTCTTGGTAAAGAGACAAATAGGAAAACAAGCAGAGATGTATTTTGAAAACAGGGATGGACCGATTGCCTTATTAAGCTACAGCTCAGAAGAGAGGCTGATTTGTCCTCTCTGCTCCTTGAACCCCCTGCATCCCAGTCAGCAGTGCTTCTATGCAGGTCTGCCTCTCTGAACCTCCCCACGCATTCAAGGTTCCTGCACAACTCACTGACACGACACTCCTTATGCTCCCTCACTCATTTCTTCTTTTTGAAAGAATTTGAGGGCCACCCAAAGAAACTGTGGGAGACAGGTCCCTGCCAGGGGACAGAGCCCCCAAGCTCTCTCAGAACAGCAAACACACGGAGCCCCATTTCCAAGCAGCTGCTCTGCTTGACGCTTTTCCCTAGCATTTTACAGGCCTTCTGCTTTTTCAGTTTTAAGGATTTGATTTTAGCACTCCCAGCAGCCTGCCATCTCAGGAGCTGGAGGCCAGGGGAACGATAAGGATTGTGATGCTATCCTGCATTGTGACTTCCCAGCTCCTTACGGGGTGCCAGCTTCAAAGAAAATAGATCTTAGGGATACGCAGAAATAAGATGAAATCAAACCAGAGGCAAAGACTGAGACCAAATTAATAGTTTGCTGAGGAGAAAATAAAAAAATAAAAAAGAGGAGGAGGAAGAAAACACTTCTGCTTACTACCTACTCAAAGTTTCCCCTCTGACATGGTACATGAGAAAGACCATATCCCAGGTTTCATCCCAGAGGTTCAAGCTCTTCAAGCATCTGAGTCTCTGCTGCTGCAAGTTTCTTCCCACCCTGGCACCATGAGCTGCTTCCGAGTTCGCCCAGCAGCCCCTCAGGACTGTCCTACGATCCTGCGTCTCATCAAAGTAAGACACGGGTGAAGGAACCGTAGGCAGGGATGTAGCACCTTTTCCTAGTTCACTTTTCAAAGTCTTACTATTTTTTTCTGTTCACCATTATCAAGGTGAGCACTTTTTCCAGCTACTGCTAACGTATGTTATTTACACTGTTCAAATGATCCACAGTGTCCCAGTTCGGAATGCAAGACATGCTCACAACTCCTACACAGCAATCTGAAGGTTTTTTTTTGTATTCCAATTTATTTCCCCTTTTCACTTACACCAGTAAAAGTTACCAGTCCCTCACATCCACCCGTCTCTCATACTTGTTTCCCACCTTTCCTGCAAGGTTGTCCTTCTCCTATGATCTATTTCAATTTTTTCCTTCTTTCTCTTGTAAGTATGTAAACATAAATCCAAGTGCAAGTAACTGTATCAGGGAAAAATAAGCAAAGAAATTGCAAAGAACTACCAAGATATAAAGATATGATTTAAACATCACCATAAGCTCACAGATGGGTCCTCAGTGTCACCTTCCCCCGCCTGCAATAGAATACTGTACCTTTGTAAACTCTTCAGCATGAAATCTCAACCCATAAACTCCTGTCACTGGAGTATAAATACTGGAGTGAATTCAGACGATTAAATTATCTCCTGATGTTCATGGGCCTTAACAATTTCTTACAAAAACGTCTCTATGTTACTGATGGGTGAAAAATAACCAACAGTGAAAGAGAACAGTTAACTGCACATGATGCAAATGAAATACATCTACCTAGAGCGCAAAACTCAACTTCCCCAGGAAAGTAGCTACTTGGCTTCAGAAAAGGCTACTACAGTGATTTTTATTTTTCCAATTTCTCTGTAACCCGTATTTATTTATCATAGTGGTAAAGCAGCAGCGAATTTCTTTACATTAACTGTTATACAAATGCTGTAGTTTGGAAACAAAAAACAGGACCATGAGAACAGCTTTTCATTGGTGGCGCTGATCTCTTCTGGGCTGGAAGCTGTGAATCTCCTTAATACTACACTTAATTCCACCTAAAAAATTTGTTTATTCCATTTCAGAGCTGACTTTCCTCAAGACCTCACAGAACTTCATTTTACAGACTCACATCTCTAAATTGTTTTTCCAGTATAAAAACTTCTGGACAACTTTACCTGTGATTCCCTGACATAACAGTACTTCTCCAAACATTAACGTAACTCCCATAAAAAGCAAACTCCTGTTCCTACACAATCTTTACCTCTGTAATCTATCCCTCCCTGTCACTGACTTCAGAAGCTGCAAAACTGAGGAAGAAGGGGAGAGGGAAACAAAGATTGGAAAAAGGTGCTCCAACACCAACTCACTATTATTTATGACACTTTTATTATTTTTTTTTATAATAACAATTCTATTACTTGGTTAATGGATGATTTCTAGGAAGCTATGAGGAAGCCACAGATCGAGGGTTTGATAAGATACACTGTAAAACGAACACTTTCTTGAGTGTTTTAACAGTCTTTATATTATGGTGAGTGGGAAGCCTTTATACCAAGGAGGAATGTGGCAAGGGACACAGCAGCACTGAAAATTCAGGAGGATTCGTGGGGAGGAGGATGTGGCCTCAGCTGCTGCATGCACCTCTCTTCTAAATAAACAGCTGAAGATTAAAATGCAAAACAAGACCCTGAGTCGGCAGTCACTTGTCACTCCGGAGATCCATATAAGAGTACACAGGGATACACATAAAGCTTGGGAAGGATTAACTCTGCACTGAGAACTAGTTTCTAGGATGGTGCTCTGGAAATCTCTCTGCAACTGAATAAAAATCTCAACACCGATTTCTCTATTTGACAGGAACAAGCCACTTACGAACACACGCCAAATGCAGTTACATTAACAGAGGAAGGTAAACTTTAACCTTTGCTTTCCAACAAATAATTATCCATAAAAATCGATGTCTGGCATAGCATAGATTTTAACGATCACTTCTTTGCTTGGAGCCCAAACTTCCAGTAGTTCTATGAGATTATTTAGATTTACGACTGCTTCTTGGTCCTGCCTTCATGCTCCTTCACAGCAGATCTCAATCACACTTAGCTCCCTCATTTAAGAGCAGAGAAAATCCCATACACCTAACTAAAAAAGAACTAAAAAGCAGAAGGTGCTGCAGCAGCATGAGGCACCAGCCGGCAACACGCGCTTTCTTCTCCTAATGGACACCAAATTTCCTTTCAAGTTCACAGCTGCTGATCGCAAACCTTTACACACAGATACTTCATGCTACACACAACACCTTTACCCAGTGCTTTTAAATTTCATTAAAAGAAAGATGCGTAAATGTAAATTTATATTTTTGCTCCAATTAAATAGATCATGAAATCCCTTTAATATCATTCATATACTACTGACTTCTTACTGCATGCTGATATTTTATTGAGTTTGGACTAGGCCTCACAGAAGGGCTGTGGAAGGCATCAGCAGGTTTCTCTTTTCAGTGCCTGCCTAGGTAACAACAAATACAACAGTGGATTAAGATTATCCCTCATAAACCTAAATAGCTTTTTTGTTTTTTTCATTAAATCCCATGCCTCCATTTCTTATCTTCTTAGCTTCTGAACATTCAATACACCAAATAGAGTTAGGTATCTTAAAATTACAATCTAAGTATAGATGATGCCTAGACTAATTTTATCACCTTAAATATTTGACTAAAATGAATTTACAAAACAAAGTAAATGCTTGCAGCTGTTCAGTTGCTTACTAGCTTTAATCTTAATTCCAGATTTGCTTCAAGATGGCTTTGGAAAACATCCTTTCTACTACTGTTTAGTTGCAGAGGCTGAAAACAAGCGGACAGAAAGTAAGCTACAAACAACTCAAGACTTCTAAACCATAAAGGTTATCAACAGTTAAAAAACATGATGCAGCTTCAGTTCAGAGCTATTATCTGATCACAGTATTGGAAACCACATGGTATTTATTTCAATTGTTTCAGTAAAAGCAATTTCTATCAAACCATAAATGAATGGCCGGAAGCTGAACTGCAGCCTAGAAAAATGGTGACTGAGGAACTTTGCCCCTGAGGAAATTGCGAACTCACACACCCCTTGGCCTGAGTTAGTAACGAAACTTGTATTTCCCCCTTTCTTTCTTTTGTCCTACAACCTTTAAGAAGGCACTCACATACTTATTTCTGCAATACAGAATAGGTCTGGCCCATAAGACTTGAAAAGCTGAAGTTTCTTCAAATAAAAAAGTTGACCAAATCAATAGGATTTTTTCTGACTTTGAGATTTCCTTCTCCTTACCATTCTGTTTGGTCTGCACACTTGTCGTCAATGCTGGGGTAACAAACAACAAAGTAACTTGCTTTTGCACACAGCCTGTCCTCTTCGCGATAGCTCAGCATCGGCACAGGCGTGAGCTTTGCTTCTTAGAATTTTCAGATGTTAAAAGTATGTCCCCTGAAATAAAGATAAGCATTATTCATAATAAAAATATATTTTATTTAAAAAAATATATTTTAAATGTTAAAGCAAAAATTTTATATATAATTATCACATTTCATTGAATTAATTATATGCAATGAGTGGTTACAAACAAAATATTAATATAAAGTATATTACACAAAATACATTTTTATTGATACTATATTTATAAATTATTTTAAATAAGAGCTACATAATAAATGTTTTCCGGTGCATATTAATATTTCCTCTTAAAAGGGGTACCAACTTTGTAGTATTCCACTTTAAATAAGGTTTCTGCATTTTAATGTTATTCAGTTATACACAAAACCTTCACTATAAGATAGCTGTTCCTGTGTAGCTATCTTGTAGCTATTTGGGAATTATAATGATAACAGCTGCCATGTAAAACAGCCACATTACTTACTCCCTCACAATATTTTTCTTCTTTCAGGGAGTTGCACTGTAGGTTATGCCATGTACAACTTTAATTATGATCCTCGGATTGGCAAGTTACTTTACCTGAAAGACTTCTATATCATGGAACCGTATCGAGGTAAATGTATTTGCATTATTTGTAAATGTAATGTATTATCAGTCTCATTCTTTTAACACTACCTGTGTAATAAGTACATTTCAATCACAAAACGCAAAAAACTCTTTTTTTCCCTCACTTCTGAGCCATACCATTCTTTAAAAGAAATTACCAAACAGAGCAAATAAAATAAACTTTCAAAATCAAGCTGCATATTAATAATTTATATTCAATTGTATACCACCTGCATATAATTTTGATGATTTTTCAGGAATGCATGCCACAGAAATTTCAGAGTTTAACAGGTGATTTTTTTTTTCCTCAGCAGCAGGAAAACTGTGACTCAATCGCATTTATCAATGAATTTTTAATATGTACTTTAAAGAAAAGGAATTCACAATTTGTCCTGTCATTGAGACAATATACAAAAGTAAAAAATTCCAAAATTAAGTATCTCATCACTCTTTATTTTGAGATGCTTCACAATGATATGGCAAAATAATGTATCACAATCAATTTTATATAAATAATATAAACAATTATAAATCTCCAGATAATCTCCATAAAAAATGCAGTGAATTAAAAATATTTTTGTGTAACAGTCATGCAACCCAGTTCTTTAAAAAGACAGAGGATTCTTCAAAAAATAAAGCACATACTCTCATACTTTAGTACTATTATATTATGTATTGTATTATAGTAACATGTGTATTACTGTATTCTAAAACTGCTTTCATGTCAGTTAAGTCACTAAAAAATGCCTCTCAAATATGTCATTAGAAGTGATTCACAATATATTAATCAATTCATGTCTTGCAATGTGGTTTTTCACATGTACTTATGTTAATCTTTCTGTTGTTTAACAGGTCTGGGCATTGGATCCGAAATTTTAAAGCTATTAAGCCAGGCACGTATATCTAAAATAAGGATTCATGAGCATGCCATAATGCACATTTGATTTTGCTTTCTAAAAGGCCAATCAAAAAAAGACAAAAAAACTCACAAGATTGTAATCAATACAGATGGATACAGCCACTACCTTTACTGCAAATTTATGCTACAAATAACATGGTGTGTTATTTCTGCCAAAGCAAGGCTGTTCACATCAAGAGATTTTAAAATTGTTTTTAATCCCAACACCAAATTAGTTCTTAACCCCCTCCTCCTCTAACAAGTTTCTACCTTCTCCTTAGGAAGGCTTTATACAACCCAATGGGCACCTCACACTCCATTGAAGATTTTCTTTCTGGAAATTCTACTTACTTTCTCCTTTTCTATCATTAAACCGCTGCATAATTACGTATCACTCATTTTTAGTTAACTAGCTCCTCAAGCATCCAATGTTAGTGCTGCTCTCTGGGTATACAGAGTTAAACAGAAGCAGGATTTTTTTTTTTTTTTTTTTGAAAGAACACAGCACGGCCTTATCAGCTACTTCCCTCTCTTCTATTCCGAGAACCAGGGGTGGACATTGCCCCCTTGATAAGGGACAAAAGGAAAGTGGAAGCGTAAATCAGCAGAGCTAGGAAAGGTGGTTAGACCACAGGGCAGAACAGCAATCATGGCAGCATTGCCGGGAAGCACAAAGTTCCACCACAGTAGAATACTGCGGCCAGTACTTTATGCTATTACTAATGATAATCTTTGCAGCTTTGTAATTACTAATATTTGCAAAATAATATATTTACTACGTTCCTGTCCTACAGACAGCACTGGAGACCCACTGTAGCTGCATGCAGTTCCTGGTACTCATCTGTAACAAGCCATCTGTGGAGTATTATATAAAATGTGGAGCTTCGAATCTCTCAACTGAAGAGGGCTGGCATCTTTTTAGATTCAACAAAGAAGCACTTCTCAGAATGGCAGCTGAGTGACCAAGAGCCACAGTCACCATTCCAGCACGTGTACAAAATCAGAATAGTCATCTCATTTAACCTGCTTTCCCTTCTAGCAAATACAACCTAAATGTCTCTAAAATTATCTGCATCTTTTTTGAAGGTACCTCTAAAATTTTAAGTTTCTTCTATGATTGATCTCATATTGGTGGACATAAAAAAGGCTGACTTCAGAAGTTCATGCTACTAAGGTATTATTGCACTGTGTCATAGTCCAGGCTTTACTAAAAAGTTCCTTACAGCTATTTATATGCACATTTTCTTGGATACAGAAATAACAATTTAGAGATTAGCAGCAGTCTTCTTGAAAGCACAGAACATACCCAAGCAGGATCCCAAGCAGGCTACACACAGGAAAACAGTCTCCTGTATTTGTTTCAAAGTTGAAACCCAAGTTATTAATTTTAGACCCAAGGTGTCAAAAAATGGGGATTTTGAAAGAATTTTCCATTGTGCATTAATCTGCTGATACAAAAAGAAAATAAGACACCACCACTTGTAAAGAACAGCAAGGACAGAGGAATCACAACCAACTAAAAAACCTGCACTTCAAGAGTGACTGAAGGTGAGGCCAGTACTGGAAGCAACCTTCCATGTTCTCATGTGGTGCCTCACTCCTTTCTTTCCCCAATAAGAAATAACACTGCACACACCAATATTGCTTTACGAGCTCCATAACTGGATTCCTCACACTCAGCATGTACCTACTTGGGTATGAACAATAGCTTTAAGTTATTTCCTAGAAAATGGTGCCCGCGAAGCACAGTTTTATTGCAGTGTTGCTGCGGGGAGTAATTTGAGCTTGAAACACAGCTTAGGGACAGCTTGTGCAGCATGTCCACGTGCAGCACAAACTCCCTGAGAAACCAGACTGCCTGTGACGGGAGCTGCAGGTATGAAGCACCCAGTTCTAGCCAGTTTAACCAGCAGCAGAGCAGGGAACCTTTTGCAGGCCAGACAACTTCTTTTTTTCCCTCTACCATGAGAGGATATATGAGCACAAATGCCATAAAAATACAGAAAGACCAGACTGGCTTTTTGCACTGCAGGCAGAGAGCAGCTTCCAAGGCTGCTCCCTGGCCTTTTCCTGCGCGCAGAGGAGCGATTCCTCTGTGTTATTCAGGCCACAAGGCAGGACTCTCACCACAGTCAACTCCTACAAATTACCTGAGTCATCTTACCTTTTTCCGTAGACTTGTGGTATCACATCAAAGGACATCAGAGAGAATTTAAACAGAATCTAGGAGTAGAGCAGAAGTTTTTTTTCTGTATTTATTTTATTTGGCCAAAGGGTGGAATAGGGTAATGGATAATATAATTTCTGCCTTCTGGTCTTGCACTTGAAAATGATGTTTTCTTCACCATCTTCATCTCTGTGCCCTTATGTCTTCCTCTGTTGGAGCTGCCATATGAAGCTCGGCCATCTAATTTTTCCTCTCCTCTTTCTCTGATGTCATACAAAATCTGGCTTGCCCAGGAGTTCTGGGCATTTTGATTTAAAATCCTCTAATTGCTGCCTGAATTGTGACAGTTGCTAGGCCTTGAGAATTGATTAAAGAAACAAAACATACTCAGTTCTAGTTCAGCCATCCCTAGCAAGCATAAGTCAACTCAAAGAACAGTTCTTCATTAAACTTTGTTATTTACCTATTCCACCTCCCGTCGGACTCTGTGTAGGTGCAGCACTTTACCCAGTACTTGGGCTCCAGGATATTTACAGCCTGTTCCTGAACTAATACGTAAGCCTCACTTGTGCTTTTCTCAGCCAGTCATCACTGATGCTTTGGGCACGTGCCACTGTGCAACACTACCTAACAACTTCTGCTGGTCCCCCAGCCCCACCACGAACACCATTTGCACAGTACATATATTCCATTAACTCAAAGATAAGACAACTCAACTCATCGAAGGACAAACTACCACTGCAACACCCTTCTGCACTTCATGTATTAGAAAAATACTGCAGTTGAGACAAATGTGATTACTTCTACACAGTCTGCTGATAATTATTGTATAGTGATAACTAGCTGTGCTCTGTTCAGGCAAGATCACCAGATCTATCAGGAACCCTTGTAAGGTTATTTTAAATAGAAATGAAGGATGAACATAATTAGATTGATATATACAGTCAGAGAAACAATATTTGAAAATTTAATTATAGGAAACTGGGCCAATTTCTAGTCTTTTTCTTGGAGGAAAAAAAGGCAGAATTTCATAGAAATCCTACCAAGATCAATGGTAGGATTGCACACAACATTCCACACAAACTTCTGGGAACCAAACATTCACTGCCTATCGCTACTTTTGCATTACTGTAATATTTACCTGCACCTTTAACTAATTAAACAGTTCCTATTTTTAACATCCAAACCACAGAAGGCTTCCAGCTTTCTAAACATGGCTAGTGCACTCCATGTAAATTCAAACAGTATCAGTTTCATGGATTAGATAATTTGCAAATTCTTCTTCAAAGCGTTAGAAGTAGTTGAAAAATAAAACTTCTTTTATAGGGTATGCTTCAGTTGTGGTATTTGTCCTCTGTCCAAATATCACAACTCTGTTTTGTTCCAGAACTGAAAGAAAACTGAAACCAGAGGCCTCCACTACCCGCATCATTTAGATTGTTATTTTTTATCAGTGAATATCTAAGAAGTATGGATATATTTACATTTACTTCCTTTGTGAAGTGACATTTATTAACAATCTTGGCACACACAAATGTCACTGTGAGGACACTGACAAATCTCCCTTTCCCAATGTCTCACTAATGACACAGACAATAAGTGAACTCTCATTAATTCTCAGTAGGCAATTACAGTTCATACACAACATGTATTTCTGCTAAATGCTTCTAAGTAGTGAAAAGTAATGTACTCATTAAACAGTCACATAAATCAATAGTACAAATTGAGATATAAGAAAATACCTGATTAAATTATATCTCACAGGGCATGTATCACAAGGATTACTCCTTCCCTTGCCCCTCCCCCTTATCTTTAATTCTTTGCAATGATTTGTAAGCAGGTGTCTTAGCTCCTAGTACTGTACATATCCACATCTTCGGGGTTGGATTGACCATGGTCCATAAGTTCTGGGTCAGGTTTAAATTTTGCCGTCTTCACTGTTCCTGTTGGAGACATTAAACATAATAATATTTTTATATATATATACACACACACACACGTGAGATACAGGATGATGAAGGCACATTATGAATGTTAGAGTGCAGCTGTGGATGGAGTGCCAGCCTCCCCCAGTCTCTATCCCTTCCTGAACGCTGCCAGCTGAAGGAGGAAGTGCAGTTCCTCTGCCCTGCACATGTGAAGTGTCATTACGAATGACACAGACATCTTTATTTTACCAGTGTCTGAAGATATTACACAATGCAAAGACAGAGGAATAAGCAGCGAGTCAAATGAGCCACTTTCACAAACAAAAAAAAAAGAGATGAAATCCTTAAAACTGTCCTTACGGTTTTCTGATAGGAAAAAGATAATATAAGGTAGGAATTTAAATAAAGCATTGATGTTAGCCCTTAGAAACATCATGCAACTTCTACCAATATGGAAGACAGTCACGGGGAATGAAAGACAATATTATTTATAACACCAAACATAATATAATAAACTTGGTACTGTGACATGGTTCACAGTAAGAAAATGATCATTTCCTTAAAGACCTTATATACATATTAGATTGCATAATCTACAATATATTCTCAAGATAAATATGTTAAGACAGTCTGCTCTGTTTTGAAACAAAGGTAACTCCAAAATGAAGTCAAATAATACAATATGCCTTGGAGCTGAATGTTGTACCTGAAGTTAAATTGGGAACTTTTAATTCACCTAACAAAGACACTGGATCTACAGTATGTGAAGACTCTGCTGGAGAAGATTCTGGCAGGTCAAATGATTTTGACTTCACAGCAGATTCAGCTGATGTATTTGAAATTTCTTTCTTTTTCTTATCCTCTTGTTTAAGTGATCTTGATTCTTGCTGCAGCTGTGAATCAGACAAATCATAAAAACATGCACATGGGTATATGCTTAATATATTACTCCAAAGTAAAGTTATCTGAAAGCTTGTCTTTTACCAAATTATTTTCAAATACGACATCATAGAAGACATTCAACTAGTAACATTAAAGGCAGATGCATGCAATGGACACAGACAGAGAAAAAATAAAAAAATCAAAAATCCCCCAGCATAGATACAGTAACGTCAAATTCACTTAAAAGGAAGCATGTCATACTTAAAAATACATGAATCTATTTTTTTGTTTTCAGCTGAGACCCTGTAAGCATTTCACAAGGAAGTCTCAGTCATTATTAATTTACAAATGAAGAGCCTGGAGTCTTACAGAAGATCTACGACGCGATTTTACAGAACCCATATTATCCTTAGCAAAGTTAGCGTGATTAACCTTCTCATCTTACATCAACACCCTGGCTAATTATTCCTGATGAATGAAAAACAATATATTGTTTTGGGAACAGGCTTCATACAGGAAAGAGAAAAGTTAACAAGAACCGTCTTTACCACATCAATTTTTGTTTCCTTACCAGTGTTTTGGCCTTTATCTGAATTGCATTTTCAAAACTCAGAATTACATTTGTGCTCCTCAGTGAAAAGTGAGGACTACATAAAAACAAACACCTTAAATACAAATCAAAGGTTCTAACATCTTCTAAACGTTAAGATGATTGAGAAAACTTTATTTTCTTTAAAAGCAACAGAAAATACACTGTACATGAAGCTGTTTTTTTTTTTTTTCCCTTAGAAAGCCCTGCTTCCAAAGGGATCTTTTGGGATGCAGGAAAAAAGTTGAATTCAGAGATGCTAACTCCACTTCAATATACAATTCACATAAGGTAAATATTCTTGTCCACTTAGTGCTGGGCAAGGCTTTGGCTCCTGTAGTATGTCCAATTTTAAGCACTTTATTTTAAAAAAAAAGAGGAAAAGGTAAAATAGACAAAGCCCAGAGCAGGGCGAGAATTATTTACGAGCTAGAAAGCCTAGCCTATATATAAAAAAGAGAAAGAGATTATTTAAGAGGATCATGTCGAAATCAAGATCAAGACAAGAAAAAAACACATCAGTTTAACCTGAGGCAATTTATATCAATGGGTAAGAAAACCAGACTATCTGAACAGGCTACTTGAAAGGGTTATGAAACTTTCTTCGCTGTATGTTTATAAAAAAAGTAGTCATGTATCTACTTTATCTTTGTACATCTTCTTTATCTGAAATTCAGTGGTCAGCTTAGAACTAGAGTTCGAATCAGAATGTGTTATCTTTTAACAAGCTCAGAAATGAGGTATGAGAGACACTCAGCCTTCTCCTGTTCATCTTGTGTGTACCGAGGGAGTATATCCCAGAGTCTATCAGTCTGGAAGGTATAATGAATATTAAATTGATTAAACACTAGCCAACATTTGCGTAAATATTGTAGCTAAAAAAGTATCAGAGGCTTTTTGTGCCTCATTTAACACATATTAGCAAACTTCACCAGCATCCTCAAAATGGTACTTCACTTTTTTTTTCACTTCCTTAGCCCTTCCAAGTCAGCAGCCGCTCCTCCCGCGAGCCTACCTTTGTGGCATCCTCCTCCTTCACCCACAGCGATCGTGCTGCTTCGTAGGAGCGCTGGCTTGCAGAAAACACCCTTTTCCCTGTTACCTATTTTTTTAAACATGCAATTTTAACAACGGTTTAACAACACAAAGGTTCATAGAGCATTCAAATGAAACACATTTTGTTTGGACTAGGATATGCCTACCCTGTGCTCAGCAGGACAGATTTACATCATTTGAATTTCAAG